TTTTGTTAGAAATTTGCTAGATTTTTAAAGTTAAACTTTTTGGCAATTTTTATTAAAAATATGGTTCATACTAAAAAATATGGATAAAACCAAAACCATTTTCAAACATTTCTCTTAGCACTGTATAAAGTTTAAAACTTTGATTCATATCGTTCTGGGTTAAACATGAACCGTATCTTTATAAAAAAAAAAACAAGTAAGAGCTGTCTTCGGCTATGCTGAAGGCTTCATACTTTTAATGAACATCAGAAAATTTTACTTTAACAAATTACTGCATTTGATATTCTTCGCTTGGTGAATAACCAACATACGATAGGTGAACTGCAAAACCGAAATGTGAACGAGTTCACACGGAATGAAAATTGATGATAAGGCTGATAAGTATACATTTTAGTGGGTCTATCTCTTCTTATTCCGGTACTTACAAACATCGGGCCAAAGTTGTTAAACCATGTCATGCTTATGAAAAGTATAATAACAAAAAAAATTTAACTTTAAAAACCCTCCAAATATTTAACAAATATCACAGTGTACTCATTTTTGCTTCCCACTGTACATATGAAACCTTAAGAGGCAGAGTAGCCTAACTGACCTTTAAAAAACGAATTTAATGGCACAACTTGTTGAGTTTTATTTTACTAGAATGGGTAGAGCAACACGTAGGTGCAATGAACATGCCAGTAAAAGGCCATATTCATTATAGATCCTTTTTTCCTTATATTACTCAAATTTTATTTTTGTAGATAACCTTCTCTGGCTCTCATGGTTTCATATGTACATAGTATGTATACTGACCAAACCCGACTTTAGGACAAATTAGTTTTTCCCAAGCTAAACTCGTAGTTCTACCAACAGGCGATAGGATAAACCTGTACAGCCTGGACCAAACTGGTCTGGCCTAAACCTTATAGAAGAAATCAATTATGTCTAAAACTATCTATTTTCTCTATTCTCAGGTCCACGTCAATCTGATGATCATGGAGGCGCGCAATCAGGCCGAACTGCTCTATGCGTTGCGCGAAATTATGCGCTATATGACATGATCTCATTGCAATTAAAAACACAGATACATACATACATATTTAGTTACCAGCAAATAATAAATCAAACAGTTAAATGACGAAGAAAGAAGAAACATATTACATACATACATAAATATAAACTATACCTACATACATACATACATACATACCTTATGTGCAGTGTAGGTACACAAAACCCCACTAAACTATACAAACTAGGTGCATATAAAGAAACAAAATCAATTAACCAAAAAATAAAACCAATTAAATTTCATTAAAAAGAATATAAAATCATACCAACACCAACCAACACAATTAGTTAGTCGTAAACAAATTGTTTTTTTATAAATTGAAAGTTCTTTGCTGAGACGAAGGCAATCCAAAGCACATAAAAAACGAAAACAACTTTAATTAACCCTTACCGACTTGCTACACATACACATGTAACCAGACACACATACATACATATGTACACACATAAATATACTAAAGCATGCACAGAAACATTTATGTATATTTAATTAAGAAATAAAAATAAATTAAGCGAACTTTTAAACAAAAGAAAAATGTAGCAAAAGTAAAAACAAAAGGACTGTCCGCTATCAACGTAAAAAAAAAACAACAACAACAAAAAATAAAAACAAAAAATAGATTAAATTCATTTGAAATTTTACAAACATTAACTAATAAAAAATTGTAGTGCCTGTTTTACGATAAAATTGTTATTATTAGCAGTAAATTTTTATGATATGCGTTTGTGAATTGGTTTTTTTTTAATTGAAATGTAAAAAAGAGTAGCAAAAATATGAAACGTTGATTTGTGTGTTTGTATGCGTTAGTAATATGTTCTATACGGCGAAAAATTCCTAATTGTGTTGTTAATAGTTTTTTATACTTAAAACATATTTTTAATGAAGCGACAAATATTATTGTTATGATCAAACTGACGTGCCTGCGGGTTAAACATACATACATATGTACATACAGATGTGCTCAGGCGTCATTGTAAATTGTATTCATTTCCTTTTGTAAAGTTTATAAAGTTACTTGTTACTTTTTTAAATGAAAATTAAACAAGCAAAAGTGATTTTCAAAGAAACTTGATATGTTGTTTTATTTGCATTTTTATAAGTATATACATATGTACATAAGTTTGCGCTATTCGCTTAGATTGGACTGGACTGGCCGTGCTTAAAATCCAGTGGCGGATTTAACGGACAGCAAAAGAAGAAATGCTGACTGGGCCCCAATAGATGGGCCCCAGTGCTCTCATCCACAACCAACTCAGCAAATTTGCTCTGAAAAGGTATTTCGTGTGTGCATTAATTTGCCGCATTAACGAAAAAACGTACATATACATACAGTGCCGGACAAAAGTATTGGCACAGAGATTTTTTCGCAATATCTGCAAAGTTTTTTAGTCTAATTTATTTTCGTTAATTTTTTATAAAAATATAGTACGTCCTACACCAAAAAATATAAAATCTAAATCTCTAAACTTTGTGCAAAACTCAGGAAATTCAATAAACTTCCGTACTAATTTGCAACTTTCTATTAAGGCATTATTAATTTCCTTGACCCATTAATGAACATATCAAAACCATTTAAGGGCAGTAGCTGTTTAATTTTCAATACGTCTCAATCAAAAATAAGTCACTTTGGTCTAAAGAGCGTATCAGACGTGGCAATGCAATATGTTTCGAATGAGAATATGTTCGATTGAGAAATTTTAGAAGGCAATTGAGTGACCAGTAGAGTGGTCCAAAAAACACTAAAGTCGGAATTTTAATAGCGCCATCCCCTAGGATCGTTCTATATCGAAAAAACTGTACCCCTATAGGCCCGCTAAAACCCTTAGATAATGCGATGGGGGGGCCAATAAAAGTCTTTAGTATGAAAAAATGGTTAAATAAAAAATTGGATATTATTACTGAAAGTCTCCTAAAGAGAACCAGAGTTTTCCCATCGAAGTTGTTTTCAACAATTCTATAACATTTCAATGAAAAGTTGTTTTTTCCATATAAAAAACATGAAAATCTTTGAGCGCTTTAAGCACTCTCTTAATATTTTTTGATTTCGAAAAAATATGGGTATAGTTTTTTTAGTATAGAACAATCCCTGGGGGTTTCGGCATTAAAATTCCAACTTCACTGTTTTTTTTTTGAATCACTCCAATGAGCAGCTACTTGCAGAAGATCCCTCGCCAAGGCACGTCAGGAAGCACCTCTACGAACTGACGGACGAAGTCCAGAGGTTTATCAAACCACCTCTGGACCCAACTGCTTACAGACCGGCCCTAAACGGCATTCACAGGGAGTCGGTCTCGAGTTACATATATAGACTCTCGACCTGTGAATGCCGTTCACCGTCCAACTTCGCTCTGGCTAAAATCGTACCTGAGTAGAATTAACGAGGATGTGCCCAACCAATGCCCGGCATACGGAGATTCGCATACATGCACGAGATACATGACTCACGGCACCTCTTCGCATGCCCCCATAACCCAACGCAGCTAACGCCTATGTCCCTATAGACAAATCCCGTTAAAGTCGCGCACTTCCTGACCCTCCCCTTAGCTGTAACAGACGACCAGGTTGATGGATGAGCCGACCCGAGCGGGGTTTGGAAGCCGCTACAACAACAACAACAATAACACTTTTCACTTGACGTTTATATTTGACATTATTTTGACAAACAAAAACAAGTATTTCTCAATATATAGAGGATTTTACCAAAATTCGTTTAAAAAACAGAAATCTGAAAAAGGCTTGACATACCTACATATGCACATACTTAGATACTTTGGACGCAATTTTACTTACAAAACCACGATTTAAAAATAAAGCCCTCTTAAATTTAGCGCGACCTGTAGCCAAATAAAAAATTTCATTAAAAAATATATGATTCGAAGGAATAGTCCATACATGCCCGATATATAGCATTGACACATTAAGTTAAACTTCTGGCAAATAAAATTAATTTTTTGGCAAATAAATTTAATCTTTTGGCAAATAAATTTAATCTTTTGACAATTAAAATTAATCTTTTGGCAAATAAATTTAATCTTTTGGGAAATAAATTTAACCTTTTGGTAAATAAAATTAATCTTTTGGCAAATAAATTTTATCTTTTGGCAAATAAAATTAAACATCTACTATAGTACTAAACAGTGTTTGAAAAAGTAAAAAATACACTAAAAAACTGCTGTTGCTATGCTAGGAAGGCATTTTTTTGACTTTTGACCAGGGTACGAAAATAAACTATATTGTACGTTACTATTTCGTTTCGTTTATTACTTCAATAGTTCGGTACAATACGAAAACAAAACGGCTGAGTTCACTTTGGCGATAGTACACTACAGTAGTTTAGTAGTTACAGACGAAACGACAAACGAAATGAATCGTGCATAGAAAAATATATGTATGTATGTACACATATCCAATACTAAACACAAAACGAATAGCTACAATGAATAAAAAAAATAAAAATGTTTTTTAATTGAATTGGATATGAAAATTTACAGAAAAAATATTTTTCACGTAATTGAAACGTTTGTGATATCACCCTATGGCGCAATTGTCACAAACGAAAAGCAAACGTTTCTAGTTGGGGAAAATGACAGTGAATCTTACAATTTGTTTCTGACTATGTACAAAACTGTACAAAACCACAAATGATATGATGATCGATGAGCAAATGGGAATTGTTTTGTACAGTTTATTTTCGTACTCTGCTTTTGACGCTTAGCTTTACTACGCCAATATCAAGAGTTAACCTCCAGGATAGCTGAAAAGTGTTTTTTGGTTTTTCTGTTCTGTTGATTTGACTGCTCACTTTCAAACAGTTCTGTCACAGCATGGTCTCAAATATTCATCAAACTATCTGGCGCATTTTATTTCAACCAAACCACGCATTATGGCCAAATGGGATAAAAAAAAACATCTAAAAAAAATATTTATGTGCATACTATGTACATTAGGGTGCTCATCGAAAATGTTTTTTTTTTTTTGAAAATTCCAAGACCCTACCCCCTAAAATATTATTGCGTATTTTTATAGATATTTAAAGGTCATTTAGAGGTCGCGACCTGTCGATTTAGGTTAACAAATACGGTTTTGTAGATTTATGAGTTTTTGAATGACTATTTTTGACTCGATTTCAAAGATCTAATGCCATCTGAGAAGAGGATAGATAGATTACTTTTTCAAACACTGTTTAGTACTGTAGTAGAGTTCAATTTTATTTGCCAAATGATTAAATTTATTTGTCAAAAGATTAAATTAATTTGCCAAAAGATTAAATTTATTTGCCAAAAGATTAATTTTATGTGCCAAAAGATTAATTTTATTTGCCAAAAGTTTAACTTAATGTGTCAATGCTATAGATATATGAAAGATATGCTTTACGAGATATACTCAGAAATATTAGTTATATATAATATAAAAAAAACTCTGACCTTACTATCTCATTATAATTAATGATATTTGTTGTTTTTTTTTTATAAAAATGAGAATGAAGTGCCTTAAATAGTAAAAGTTATTTTGGGGGAATACCATTGAAAATAGTGGAATTTTTTCAAGAATGATCTTTGCGATCTTTGTTATAATCTACTACTCATTGCGACTATTTCAAGAAAACTCAAAATCATTGTTTTAGTTTTTTATTTGAATCTTTGATTTATTTTTTTTTTTTTACAATTGTATTGGTATGTATATTTATTTAAACTTTAATAAAGGGTATCCAGTGTTCATTCTTTCTCATATATAAGTAGATATATAATTCACACATTTCGTCTATAAGCTGTTTTAAATAAATGTACATATCGTTACCTTAATATAGAAAGGCCTTATCTCACATCATCGCAGAAATGCAAAAAGCCGTAACTAACTAAAAATACAAAATTCACTTTTTGATTTATTATGCTGCATTTCACCGAATTATAAGTCCCCAGATCGTCTTATGCAATAAGAATTTTTATTTAGTTACGGCTTTTTTGCATTTTAGCGACGATGTGAGATGGGCCCTTTCTATATTAAGGTAACGATATGTATATACATACATATTTGTATATATATGAATTTATGTATGTACATTAATATGAAAATTTGCCTTCAACCGTTCTAAAAAAAATATGTAAGTTGATAATAAATCATTACGTCAATCAAATAAATTAATTACATACATTTTGCATGCTTTTACGCACATACATATATACATATGTACATATGTGTATGTACCTACATATATGATACCATGCTTATAGGCCTAAATTGTTATATTTATGTATTTAAAAATTACTACTTTAATACAGTATAGAGCATAATTTATTAGATATTAGTACATACTATTTTTTATTATTTTTTGTTACATATTTCAACAAAACCACGTACGTTTTCAAAACTTTAACTTTATTTATATTTTAATAGGTAATTCATTTAATATCTTTTATAGTAACTCAGTTAATATGGCTATCAACAAAACAATTTCGTAAATTAGCAGCTATTTCACCAATACTTTATACAGTGTATTTATTTATAATAGCGAAAAAAAAACAAAAGAAATAAAGAGTTGCTTCGTTTTTAAATTGAAAAAAGAAAGAAATATCCATAATTATGCATCTACACTAACTCACGCATATTTAAAGCTTTACCCTAAAATCGTGAGCTGTATTTCATATTTACCCTAAACTAAATACTTTTGAAATTTTTTGGATATTCAAGAGTATGCATAAATGTATGCAATACTCGTACATATCGTATATTTTCGTTATTTAAGGGGTTTCGATGATGGTTTGTCTTTTTTGCCATTTATTGCAAGTTTCTAAGAGCTGCCATTTTGAGGCCTAGAAAGAGGTATGTAAATAATTCCATAATTTGTTTTATTTATACATACATTAATTTTAAATAATTAAACAGTAATTACACATCGGTCAGTCCATGCCAAATTGGCCAATGGTTGAAATCGACCATTTTTGATTTGAAGGAATTTTGGTCAGAACTTTTCTTTTTTTTATATAACGAAGTTCTGTCAAAAATTACCTTAGATTGGAAATGTTTATATGAAACAAAAAATTAGTAGGAAATAAAGTTTCGAGTTTGGATTTTTAGTTGGTACTTTTTTATTTTAAAACAGTACATTAACGACTTTTTCTTTTTGCTAAGCATACATACCTACATAAACAACATTTGGATCTACATTGTTTACAAAAATATCATGCGCAAGTATACAAAATTGACTCCAAGCTCTTTAACGCCAACTGATTTTTATCATAAAGCATCTACATCCGCAGACTTGAAAACAGCCATCTTAATAAAAGTCGATTAAGTCTAATAACTTTTTCTGCCAGAAATATATTTTTTAATATTTTTTGTCAATTTAAAATTTTTCGAACCGATTTCGCTCAGCGATAATCTTTATTTTCGTGCCGAGTTGTAATCATTAAGATCGAAAAAAAAGGGTTATATAAAGGAAACAATCAAATATGGTTCCAAAAAGGCAAATAATAGTTTGATCGAAAAAGTATAACTTTTATTAGATATAGATAGATACAAATTTAGAAAACACATTTAAATAAAAACTTTTGAAGCCGAACATTTATTTAAACGATTTGTTTCTATAATGCAGCACTTATGTAATTTTGTTACATTTTCAAATTTTCTTTTCGCAAAATTTTTAATTTCGATTCATACTTAACTGAAGCATCCAAACTTGCAAGTTCAGTTTTACGTTTTAGGAAATATATCATATCAACATTCGTTTTTTTTTTTTCGATAAGAAAACTAGCAATAGAAGAGCGTCGCAAAAAATTAAAAATGCCAGTCAAGTATGTTTTTACGTCAGCCAATTTGTGAAAATTGCAAACACTGAGTATTGTACATTATCCATCGATATGTTGTTTGAAAGTTATTCCTGTAAATTTTGGACTGAAATGTGTAATTTTCTCGTTTTCTTTGACAATCTTATACAATTTTATGACATCAACTTTACGTGAAGTTCTTTTGTCCCACTTTAGTTCATGCGCTGCCACATCCCCAACATCAACATCAGATTCTCATGCACTTAGCTATGAGAAGAGAGATTTAGAGATGGCTAAAATTATAATTATACACTTTCCACAGAGGTGTCTTACCTTTCCTCTTCGATACCAGTACTTCTGCACACATAAAAAACTTTTGTGTACTTCGTTAATAAAAAATTCGTTAATACATGTTTAATTATATGTACATAAAGTACAATACCCCTTCGATTTATCTTAGCATTCTTTTGTTTTCTAGTATTTTTTTATATTTTAAATAATTTTTTTGTTTTTAATTTTTCTTTAGTAAATCGTAAAAAAGGGAACTTGCGGTATCTGCGCCATAATACATACAGGCACTTAGAACTATTAATTTACATATGTGCAACTAATTTTGATGCATTTAGAAAAGCAAAAACTTTCCGAACTTTTGTTAGCTCCACCGTTGATACTCCTTTGAAAGAAATCTTAAGCTACTATATATAACACATACATACATATGTGAATGGTGCAAAATAATGGGCAAATTGAATGAATAAAAAAGAAATTAAAAAGCAAAAAAGAAAAGTAACATTTAGTATAAGAAATTACAAGTAATATAAAAATTGAAATAAAAGTACATAAAAATAAGTAGTTGTAGATTTGCAACAATTTACGATTAGCACTTAAATAATGCATATAATTCTATGTATGTACATATATATTGCGGGTATACATTTATGTATGTATGCATGAATGTAGGTGACTACTTTAATTTCGATATGTTTGCTTGATTATTGCCCAACATAATCGCTTCCTATTTAATTACGAGTTCATAGCTGCCACGTTCACGTTTGCTTGGAAATTACTTTAGAACAAAGAATTCGCAGCTCAATTCGCTCTATCATTATTGTGGTTCATTCAAGATGTCGTTGACGCTATCGTGGATGGCCCGCCAATGCGTTTTGGCGATGAGGTTAGCACCTTCTCCTTAGGTTTTCCCTGCTCATCTTGGAAGAAAATCTTTGTTATGACAATATCGCCAGTACTAAGTGTTTGCGATGCTGAGTCGATCGATTTCACAGCCTTCTTTTCATTGTTAACCAGACGTATGGTTGGTGTACTACTGCGTTCGCAGTTACAAATGCAATTCTTAGCGCTAAAAATGTAAAAAAAAAAAAAAAAATATTTAGCAAATTCTTTATTAGATGAAATGTTTATAGGCGTACTTACTTTTTGGTCTTCTCACGTACAACTTGTACATTATCAGTGGCGGATATGTTTGAGCTCAATTGATCCTGCATTGTGTTGGAAGTTATAATCTAAAACGAAAATATAGCACCCAAATAAATATGTATGTGTCAGACAATGTGGAATGGGCGAATTAAGGCACGAGTTGAGTTTATTATATTCATTGTGTCCTTAAGATCTATTGCCCTCTCCCCCCTCCACATATTTAGCGTCTAATTTCATTGCGCCCTCAAGAATAAGATAGTTAGTTTAGTTAAGACATTCACAAGACCATGGATAATCAATAATGGCTAATAGTCGTTTATCTACTACTAGTCGACACTCGCAATAAGAGTGCGAGTATCTTTTGGGTTTGTACATCAAAGCACCGTACTAATATGTGACATGTAGTTTCATTATCAGTCCTGCATAATCTGCGTAGCTCTTCCGAGTAAATTCCCACTTTAGTCAGGTGACAGTTTATCTTGCAATACCTTGTGAAAATTTCAGGATGATATTTAAGTTAATCTTGGATAAGCTCAGGCATTCCTTAAAGCGTTTTGGTTATTATTTCTTATAAACGCTTTAAATCCAAATTGGGTTAGTCAGACAAAGAGTTTCGGCTTGTTAAAATACTTCAACGCCATCTTCTTTATCGTACGTTTCTGCCAGGAAAATGAATATATATTTTCACATATGCTCCAAGTATCTTAGCATCGGTGCAAATACATTTATAGGTACAGGGACCACCATCAGTCCATCAGAGATCAGATTCAGGAAAGCAGAATCACTCAGAATTGCATTATGTCAGCAAATACAATTCGTAATTTGCAAATTATTTCCTACACTCGCTTACTCGCAGCTCTCGCTTCTCTCCTACTTACTTGATCATTTGGCATTTGTGTAACGGCCGACAATATCGCTTCCAGCTTATCCAATTTCACCACTCGATCCATGGATTGATCTGCTAAAATTTCATCCATCATTTGCATAGACTCGGCCAAACTGGGTGGCTCAGAGTTGAAGCGTGGCGAAAATGTGCCGGTTAATGAATTGTCTGATGGCACTGAGTCGAGACTTGGGAAGTTATCGTTTTCAGTGGGTTCTTGTTCATCCTCAGAATCACTTTGATCCCTGAAAATTCAGTGAAGTGGATTAATTGATTTTTTTTTTCACAAATTCTAACCACTGCGACTATGTACCTAGTTTGGTTACCAGCCGATTCCATTTTTTCAAACTTCTTTGCTACTTTATTGTTATTGCGCTTCAGACGGTCCTTCTCTTCCTCGGTCAAGTCCATGTAGCTGCAAGTGTTGTTAATGAAAAGTAAATACAAAAACTGTACTAACAACTTTTACTAAATCTTCAGTATGCCTCTTACCGCAACAAGCGAATTTCACGATTCGACAGCACGATACTCTTGTTTGACTGCTCTAGTTTCTGTTTGAGGTCAGTCACCTCAGTGGTCACCTTGCGCTGCTTCTTGCGTGTCTTCACCTCATTGGGTTTGATTTGTATGAGTATTTGTTCAGTGCAAAGCTCAGAGAAAAGCTGACGATTCTCTGGTTTTATTTGTCTAGAAAATGAAAATGGAATATATGTATGTATGTATTGCAATGAATGCTATTTATCTAGTAGACTTAATTGAAACTGCTTCGAAATTCACATCAAATACAGCAGCAGCTTACTCACCTCGCTAGATTACCGTAGAGCTGATCGTTGATTAAGACAAGCACATCACCGGCCGCATAGAGCAGCATATCACGCGATAATGGCCGCTTGGCCCAATATTTTTGATCGCGACGGTAAATCTGCTTGAGTTGCTCCTTAATCGGATTGATGGGGGCATTGTACTGTTCGCATAGTGTATTCAGTGAAATGTATTTCGCTTTGTAAACTTGTTTACCCGTCTCCTGATACTGTATGATGGCATATGCGGCCTAGTAGCAATAATAGAAGAAAATCAAAATAGAGATCAACTTGTACTTTTCCCAACTACTCGCCCAGTTAATACCCACCTGCGTGTCGAATACATTCCGTAAAAGTATGCCAAACTGCAAATACAAATTCGCTGCATCATTGCGGCAGTCGTGTATGACCTTGATGACATTTTCATGCTCCAACAACGTCTTCAGGCCACCATCGCTGATTATCTCAGGACATGTGCGCACATCGAAAATGAATGCTTCGCCACGTGTGGTGCCGATCTCAATGAGCGTGATTTCGCCCTTCAAACCCAAATTAATGCCTTCGCAGTCCAGCGATATGACTATGCTCTGATTATTCTGCTGCGCAAATTTCAACATCGCCTCGGTGACGAACAGCGAGCGGTGCACTGTGTTAATCACTGTGGTATTCTGCATTACCTTAAGTCTCCAGGTATCGCCAACAAAATAATTATGACTAGGTGAATGTGATGTGTTGTTCGCGTTGACGGCAGCAGTCGAGTTTGAACTCGCGTTTGTGCTGCCACCAGCTGTGCTCGCGACATTGATGCTATTGGAATGCACGGGACTTGAATGGGAGGATGAGTTCTGTGGATTGTAGCCGGCAGATGCACCACCCACCTGGTTGGCCAGTGACTGCTTGTCTTTTTCGTAGTTCTCGGCTAGAGTACGTATAACCAAGTTGTTCACGCGTTGCTTCAGTGTCTGATTGAGACTGTTCGGGCGTTCTGTGTTCGCTTGTGTCGATATGGCGGAATTTTGCAATGAATTCAGATTATTTTGACCACCCAAAAGAGGTGGATTATTGTTGCCGGGCGGGCCGTATGAAGAACAAGTATTCGGGCTTGGGCAATTGCGATCGCAAAGGTTGTCCAGGTGAACGTCCGACATTTGTATGAAACTATCGAAGCCTGAATTGGGTTCTGATCGTGTTTGTGACGCATTATCGGTTGGCGCTACCACCGGACTAGACATATTGGATACAGGCGCATTTAGTTTAAAATTTGGTGATGTTATGCTGCAATTGTTGTTGTTGCTACTACTCATGTTATTCACATGTGCACTTTGTGGCGATGAAGTGCTGATGGCATTGTTGTTGGCAAAATTACGCAACGCCGGCGATTGCAAACGTTGCTGTACAGCGCTGAGGGCTGGTTGCGCCGCCGGTGGTGGTGATTGATTCTTCAATGCCATATTGTTGATGTTGTTGTTCATCGAATTATATTGCTCGCGCGTACGCGCCTGCGCCTGCTGGATATATGAATCACTCAACTTGGGCTTCTGCAACAACGTGACTAGATTGGCTTGTATGTGGAAACAATCAGAAAAGAGCTTGAGGAAGGTCGAGAGATCGTTGGGTGTTTTGAACATGCGCAACCACTGCTCCTGGGGGAAGCGTGCTGTCAATAAATGAAATAATTGATCCACCAAAATCGGACCCTTCGTCTCAATGCATTGCGCAAAGAAATCCACCATCTGCTGGGTGGCTTTCGTATCAATATTGCTCTGTGGCAAATGCAGACGATCTTGCGCCGGCAAGTCCGTCATATCATCGCAGCCAACAAGCATCACATGATCATCGATCACCTTGAAGGTATCAGTATGCTTCTGTAGAAACTCAGTGAACTCTTTTATATGTTGACCTGAAAGTGTATACAAGTAATAAACAACAATTACCACATCCACATTTCAATGAAGTTGTAAAGTGGGTACCTGAAATATGCCGCACCTGCGGTGACGCCTGCGAACGATGACCCAATAAGCTGCGCACCGGCACCTCTACGCCAATACCATATTGTAGCATTTTATTTTTAAAATAGTCTTTAGCCTCTTTAATGTAATCACGTCGTCCGCCATAGCTACCATCGTCCTCCGAAGCGTGCTGATAAGTATTCACCTTCACATAGTCGCCGTCCACAACGAAGATTGACGGATGCTGAGCAAGCAGCTTCTTCAAACCTGAAATGAGGAAGGGTGAAAAAGTTTATTAGTACTTAGGCAGCAGTATGGATGGTTAAGACAGGCTGAAAGTGTGGCAGTAAGTAATTGTAAGTGGTCTTCATACATACATAAATGCCTATTTAAATTAATTACAAACAAAAAACTAAAGAGAGAAAACACGTTAGTAAGATTTTGTTTAGTTGCGCTTCCCATGTATACACTAAGTTCTCTTCTTCTTCCTATCAGGCAATGCGACGGTTTATCGATTTGGGCCGACACCAAAAAGCTTAACCACTTGACTCTCCCCAGTGCTAATTTGCGCCAGGTACGCAAACAGGAACATATCGAGCCCTAACCGCCAAAATAACGTAAGCGACATTTTTTTCAAAATTTTCTTTTTGATACAGAAATATTCCTAGAGCATCTAGATACATTTCTGCATCAAAAAGTAAATTTAGAAAAAAATGTCGCTTACGTTATTTTGGCGGTTAGGGCTCGATATGTAGATCTTGTTCTCTCAAAAGTACATAAAACCTTCACATCTTTGTTCGTCATCGCCCACGTTTCTAAGTCATATAAAAGAATTGGCATGATATGAGATTTGTAGCGCTTTTCAGTTGCTTACCAAGCCCAAAGTAGTGTGTAACCAATACCAGGAGTCTGAGCTTACTAGTCGCAAACATACTAAGCGTGATTATTAAAAAAAAACTGTAGGGCGTTGAAATGCGAAATCTGATTACTTTGCAAAACCCACGAAATCACAGATTACAAATAACTTTGCCATATTTAAATACTTATCAAATAGCACAACAAAGAGTCCATGTTGAGCCACAACTTAAAAGACACTTTACCAGCAATCTACTTCCACTTCTACTCCACTTTACTTGGCGCTCAGCTATTCACTTCCTTTGTAATCATAAAAAAGAGTGGTTTATATATTATATATTACGTAGTTATTAGGGTGGTCCCTAAAATATCAACACCGTGGGCGCACCCCTTTAGTTTGTTCTACATGCAAAATAAAGAATGAATTTATGTCATTGTTTTAAGAGTTTTTTATTAGAAAAAATTATTATTTATTTAGATTTACTTTTTTCATAAGAAATACTGAATCTGTTTTAAGTTTTACTTTTTTTTTTACTAATTGCATTGTGATCTTTATTAATCGCTCCGAAAATACATATAATCATATACCCAGCTATATTTTTTTTGAACAAAAATAAAACTAATTTTTCGAGTAATATTTTTTCACTCAAATAATGATTAATTTGTGAATTGTTATTTTTTGATCAAAAATAATCATTATCTTATGATTTTTATTTTTTGACCAGAAAAAGGATTTTTTTGGGAGTTTTATTTTTGTTTAATAATGATTATTTTTAGAAAGCGGTGCTGCGTTTTACGTTTTTCGATCTACCAAAAACTATCAATAGAAATCAAAAATTAAAAAATAACGCCCAAGAAATGAGTTTTATTTTCGATCAATAAAATAAAAATTAAATAACAACAATTTTTTATGAAAATATAAATAAAACTCCAAAAGATAATTTTCTGATAAAAAAAAATTAAAATAAAAAACATTCCTTTTTCTCATCCAAAAAATAAAACTCATAACATTATTAAAAAAAATAATGCTGGAAAAATTTGTTTTATTTTGGCACATGCTTACGTATTTTCGGAGCGACTAATAAAGATCAAAAAAATAATTATTAATTACATTTTTTATTTATGTTTATAGATATCTATCGGTCAAAAGTTTTGAATGGTCACCAAAAAATATAGCTTTAATATTTTTCATTGAAAATTTTTTTGTCCGTGATTTATATTAATAAATTTATCAGATTCCAAGTAAAAAAATTATCGAATTTTCGCGATATTTTTTCTTTGTAGTTTCAATTTTTCAAACCCTGGCAGCGACCCCTAAAAATTTGTTGAAATTTTCGTGATTGATACTGTAAGGACCACCCTAGTACTTATGTACGCACATACATATGTGATATGGGAGTGGCGTGCTGCCGGCATAAACTCAAGACACGCTCCACTTTACAATCGAAGAAAATGGAAGTGCGAGTAAGTACTTGTAAGTATTTGGCGGGCGTTTTCCAATTCCATTTTCATTCTCATAGTGTGATTGCTAAATGTTGCCACAATAAAAAATGTAGAAACAACATACATAAACAATTCAGCAACAGTAGCAAATACGTAAATGGGGCTGCAACAGATTTTCGCCGATAGCAAATAACCATATTGCATTGAAAAAAGATTGACTGTTGCTGCATTGGGAGCAAAAAACGAGACATAGAAAAGGAAATAATACGAGTAGAAACTAAAAAGCAGCAAACCAATGGTAAAACAACAAGAATCGCTGGCAGACAATAAATAGTTGAGTTGAGGAAAATCTGTGCTTAATTTAACAAAAAAAAAAAAAAAAAAAACAAAGCCTAAATTTGAAACAATAACAGGAAAAACTTTATTGTACCCTTAGACAGATGTTAAGTTGAGAGTACATACATACATATGTATATATGTAAGTTATGTACTGCTGTACATAAATGATGAAACTTTATAGGTTGAAATGGAAAAGTTAAAGTGAATGTGGCAAGCTAAGCCGGCATAGTCTAAAATAATCAACTAGGAAAGTGTAATTCAGGGCAAAAAATACCTACATATGTACATACATTCATATGTAAGCATGCGAAAAGAAAAGTTGCTGACGAACGATAATGAAAACAATAACTTTATAGGAAAACTGATGTAAAGTGAAATGAGGCGCCTGCTGATGTTTATGAGATATGCCCATTTGCCTACATATATTCTAACTATCATAATTACTCGCGCAAGTACATACATATGTATGTACGTAAGCATGTATGTCAGTATGTATGTATATACATGGAACAAAATGGGCATTTTTTTTTTCACCGCTTCTAGCGTTCAGTTATGACAACAACAGCAGCAGCCACTGGCAAAAGTTGGTTGAATTTTTATTTTTTTCTTTGCCCGCTTTTTGGTTTGTTGACTCGTTAACTCGTTGGCTGATTAGTTTTTTGATCGCATGACTGTTATCATAATGACTACCTTACATAGTTATTAGATTATTACTAACCGACTCTTTTGCTTTCCTGTTGGCTGCAGACTAACTAAAAGTCAGCTGTGCTGATATCGATGCGTTCTCACAGCAATTAAAACTCATAAGGATACACAGTAAAAAAAATTAAACTTTTCTAAACCAAATCCCAAAAAATCTGAAAAAAATTACTTCGTTACATATATATAGAGGATTCGTTATATAGAAAATTAAAAACCAAAATTTTTACAGCTGCGGTAAGCATTACGTGTAAAATAATTTAAATTAGCATTTAATCATTATTTTAGGATGTTTATGTTTTTTCCTTTAAAAATAATTATTTTATATGTAATTTATATTTTTTCGTTCAGAGACAATAGTTATTATCGAGTTTTATTTTCCACTTAAAATAATGATTATCTATAAAATTTAAAAGGCCATACAGACGCAATTAACTGAAATTTCCAACTTATTTCTTTTATTAGGATGTCGCACAGCGTAAAGATCCCATATATATTGCGGCCAAAAAAAATAACGGGCCGTCGTAAATTAAATTTGACATAGTTAATACTTATGCAAATATTAAGAAATACTCAAAAAATTTACCAAATCCGTCAACGGATACGCCTACTTTCCATACATGCAGAAAATTAAAATATCTCCAACTTTAACCATATTTGAGATATAATAATAAAAATTGAAATATAGGCGCGTGTAATGGATACCTACTACTGAAATAAAAATAGGCTCAATCGGCCTAATCCAACGCCTATAGTAGCATAACCTCAAAATTTTAAATGGGGTTATTTTATTCCAAAATGAGCCATATGAATAAAAAAAAAACAGTGTCAAATATATATGTACACATTTTATTTATCCGATATCTAACAAAAACATACGTTTAGGCGTACATATATTCAATTAAAACAAACTTATTCTAATTCGTCAGACAAAAAATCGCTAAAAATTAAAATTCAAAAAAATGCAAATTTCTGATAAAATTGAATTCTTCTGTTGAATTTTCCTCTTTATATATTACTACAAAAGGGGTTAATATCGTAGCCATGCATCTTTTTTTGCTTTATAATTTCCGTTCCACAGAGAAAGTTCTATCGAAAGGTAAACATGTCTTTGTTGCATGTTTTTCGTGAAAATTTTTGGGTGTTTTCCAAGCGGCATTTCCTAAACTCTTTACGTCTTGTTTCTAAAGCATCCTAGGAGAGGACTTCAATGGGAAGGGTAAAATATTTTATAATTTCGCAGCCATGAACTAATATGTATATTGTGAGCTGTTGTTGGTTGGCATATATGTAATACCAGGAGTAGATATCTGAATATAATTTGTAAGTGTCATTTAACAATATTTAAATGTCTCATATTTTTGCACATTCCACTACATAAGGATCGAAATATTATTGGTTATTGACCGTTAGCAGAATTCCGTTGTTTTACACAAGTGAAAGTAAATAAAAGCTTTTAAATAGGCTCTCTTCAACGCACATTACGTTATAAAATACATCACGGATTGAAGACTGGCGCTTACTAGCGCAAAAAATTATATTTTTCTAATGCACAGACTAAGTCTTAACTAGAATGAGTACTGGAAATAGGTAGCAATCGTTTTTTCCAAAGTAAGATCTTTGAACTGGTACGATGAGGAGTGTCAGGAAGCTGCAGAGAAAAAAGATGCCGCCTACAGGGCCACGCTGCGATCGGGCGCAACGCGCGCTATGTGGGACCGCTATAGGGATCTGAAGAGGGAAGCGAGACGTATTTGCCGCAACAAGAAGAGAGAGGCAGAAATACGTGAGAGCGAAGAGCCTGAAATGCTGGCCGACAGGAGGAATGCCCGAATTTTACCAGAGAGTTAGGCGACTTACGGAAGGTTTAAAGACCGGGGCGCACTCCTGTAAGAACAATAATGGCGACCTAGTAACTGATGTCCAGAGCG